GTTTCCATAAGGATGCTGCAGACTATATCTCTCACTGACCCACTCTGGTTCTCACTGGCACCACCCTAGTCCATGATAAATCTGTTCATTTTTTAAATAATCCAGTTTACAGGTGGATTAAAATATTTTAAATTAATTTTTCCAAAATAGGTCATATGTTTTAAATACTAAAAACCAAGATACAAATAAGGAATTTCAAGTTTCCTAGTTTTGTAAAATTCCTTAATTCATTCTACTGAGAATGCTCATTCTATCAAAGACCGCTCACTATTATGTGTGATTTTAAGGGCCTATCCTGAATGAAGAACATAAGAGGGCTAAATTTAAATTTGGCTTCATCTTTTTCATTACATATAAGTTTATACCAGATGGGTCTGTGGTTTGGTTTTGGTTATTGTCTTTTTTTTTTTTACCTCTTTATAGATTCCAGTGCATTCATAGTAATCTCTAGAAGGGAGGCCAAGTCGAGGCTGGTCAACCTATAAAAAATATACATAAAATAAATCGTTCAGCAAATATAGAAAAGTTAGAAAAATACAAGCATGGCTATTTATGTATGTGAAAGATCCTAGTCTGCTGTTTATAGGGGTAACTATCAGACACTGAGTTAATACAAAATTAGGAAATGGTTTCTACACTACTTACAAGTGTTATACTAATGGGCAGTTAGATAATCTGGAGGACTATGCTGCAGATATTTAAGGAAAACCAAAGAAAATGAACAAACGATTTACTGGGAGAGATTTTTAATGCAGAGCAGAAGGTGCAAGTGAACAAAAACATGTTAGATTCTAGGACGTGGGAATTTCTAAATTACATATTCACAGGACTTCCCAGCTTCCTGAGATTCTAATGTGCTCCCCTGGGAACATTCTCATCTGCTTTCACCCTGAGCTGGGATCCACTCTCATTGGTGGGAGCAGGTCAATATTCTTCAAGTTGATGTGGGTGGATGGGGAGAAGGGGAGGAGGAGTGGAAAACCTCTATGGTAACTCCAGAACCTTTTCACTAATGCAACTCTTGCCAGAAAATGTTTAAGATTCTCTACCTTAAGGGAATGGAGGCACCTTCTCCTTGGTTCTCCCCAAAGCTGCTCTGCTCAGAAGAACTTCAGCAGACCCAGATAGCAGTTAAGTATGTAAAAGATGAAACTCAGTTCTGCACTAATGTGTCTGGTCCATCTTTAATACCCAAGTGAGAGCTGCCTGGGCATACTTGCAGCTTTGTGAGATTGTTTCCTACTCACTGCATGGCAACATGAGTGTGGAGGCCAAACCGAGCATTTCTGGGTTAAAGACAGAATCCTAGCAGCAGTGGAGAGCCTAGGCCAATACAAAAGAAACATAACCCAAAGAACTGGGATGGTAAGAGCCAGAAGATATCTCCATATGAAGAGCCCTGATCCTTCCCTACCCCCTGACCCTCAAGGTGATCCTGCAAGGAGAAAGTTTCAGAAGAGAGAGAGTCCACTGCAGGAGATTTTGGTTCAATTCCTTTCAAAATTTTATATAAAAATGACCATAAAGATTTACGCAATAGGGGCACAGATATAATTTGGTAACCTGCAACTTTTGGTATAATTCCTTTTACAGGAAAGAAGAAAGAAATAAAAAGAGAGAGAAAGAAAGAGAGAGAGAGAGAGAGAGAGAGAGAGAAAGAGAGAGAGGTAAAGGGAGAAAGAGAGAAAGAAAGAGAAACAAAAAGAAAGGAAGGAAGGAAGGAAGGAAGGAAGGAAGGAAGGAAGGAAGGAAGGAAGGAAGGAAAGAAAAGAAAAGAAAGAAAAAGAAAGAAAGGCTCATTAAAATTTTCAGTACATTCCAAACATATTCATTAATCTAGTCTTAGGTGACATCTAAATCAAATTGTTTGCATTTTTAAAAATAAAATAAATCCATTTTAAAAGAAAGGCATTTTGTTTCTTTTAATTGAGGAGAAAAGTACAGATATTCTTTAGTGAGAAAAAAAATTATGTTTAAAATCCCTTTTCTATGTTATTTTCAAAAGCAATTATTGTTTTTTGGTTTCCAGGCCTGCATTACTTCTATAAACCAAAGTATACTCCTTTCAAGTAATATACAAAGAAATCAGAGACTTTTTCTGAATAGGAGGGGCCTGGAGCCCTTCTTAACATTTGTTTTGTGAAGGGAGAGGTATCTAAAATAGAGGTAGCAGAAGCAAGAGGAGAATGTCTAAAACACAGCATTAAGAAAATACTTTCAAAATTGAGACTCTAGGTATTAGGGACAGAGCATGAATATACCACCTCCTTGCTTAATTCAATTGAAAACAGCATTATTTCTAAGTATCAATAACAACAATGTGTGTGGAAGTTTTATTACAATTTAAAGATAACTTTAGTTATTTGCCACACAAACTTACATGAATTACATGATTCACAGAATTCTTATCATCGGTGCCAACAAACAAATTAAAAAGGACTTTTTTCCCATATTTAGAATTCAGTTGTGCAATAGCTTTTTCAGCTGTCCAAGAAGCACCTAAAGCAATAAAAGATAAAATATATCTTTAGAAGCTTTAATTCATTAATGATATTATAATAACATAAATTTTACATGGATTTTTTAAGTAGGAAAATTGCCTTACCATATTTTTGCTCCCAGTTTTCTGTTGCTACTGGCCACCCATATATGTCTGGTAACAGTTTGAGTAGAGGTTCTCCACCTCTGCTATCAATAGCAGCTTTTGAAAACAATAAACATAAATTCAATTAGAAGTCTAGACATAGTTTGGCACCAATATATGCGTACTCCTAATGAAATCAAATGAAGAGCACTTACATTCATTTATACAAGACCTGTACAATGTTTTTGCTTTCTGCACTGCTACTATATCTTCAGTTTTGGGTTCTTGAAGCACATCTGAAATATGACATTTAATAAAATACATGAACATAATTGCTCATTTGCACTATGCACACATAATTGCTCATTTGCAGTAATTAACATTTGCAAGGTGGGTTCAGTTAAAGTACTTTGCTTTTCTGGAGGTACATTCATTCCCTCCCCCCAGTTCCAAAACCTTATAGGAAAAACCAAACCCCTTACCAGATTAGCATTCCTAGCACAGAACTGGGAGTCAGTTTAATCAGCCAACTTAGATGAAAGTCCTTTTGAATAGATTATCTTTTTTTTTTTTTTTTTTTAATGAACAGTGATGCATACTGCTCTACCATAGGTAACAGTTACTTTTCTTGAAATTGAGATTAAAAAAATAAACAATAATACAGGGAATTTGGAATTTAATATGAATAGTCTTTTTGATAGCTGGAAAATAATTATCTGTGTGATTGTACTTTTAATGCTCCAAATGAATGAATTGAATTGTCTTACTTGTTTGGATGTTAAAAAGTAGTAAAAATTGGTTTTCTACAAAACAAATTCTAGGAGAGTTGTTTTGTTTCTACAAAACAACTTCTAGGAGAACAGGGAACAGAGGATAGGAGCGACTTGTCTAGACTTTGCTAACTTCCCAGGGAGAGCGTCTTAGCCAGGTTAGAATATGCCTACGCTGGGAAGGTAAATCTTTGTAACATCTTACAGTGACTTTAACACAGGGCTTGGGTAGGGAGACTACAGAAGTAGTTTTTTGTGGCAATCATTTAAACTTTTTTCTTCTGTAAAATGGCATAAAACTATCATCTTTGTTGGGCATGGTGGCTCACGTCTGTAACTCCACACTTTGACAGGCTGAGGCAGGTGGATCACCTGAGATCAGGAGTTCGAGACTAGCCTGGCCAACATGGCGAAACACCATCTCTACTAAAAATACAAAAATTAGCTGGGCATGGTAGTGGGTGCTATAATCCCAGCTACTTGAGAGGCTGAGGCAGGAGAATCACTTGAACCTGGGAGGCGGAGGTTGCAGTGAGCCAGGATAGCACCATTGCACCTTAGCCTGGGTGACAAGAGTGAAACTCCATCTCAAAACAAAATAAAACAAAGCAAAACAAAAACAAAAACCTGCCATTTCTAGGGATGATACAGCTTTATCATTTGCATACCTACAAATGAAAGCAGGAATGCTAAGAGATGTCAACATATTAATTTTGGTGTCTGCCATTATCAGGGTGACTTGGTAGTGGTATACAAATCCTGGAAGGATTATTAATGTTTTAATCTTTTGTGACATTCCTTGTAATGGCTAACAATTGCATATTAAAAAATGAATATATGAAGAGAGAAATCTTTGATGCACAGATACAATCTCTACTAACCTTTCAAAATGACTTCTAGTTCATCTCTTAAAATGTCAAAGTTGCCGTAACGGGAGCTGGTCTCGGGAATGACATTGCGTTTCAACCAGCCTCCGCATGCATATTTGAAAAAGTCTGTACAAGGCTCAGCGGTGGCATCCATGTTTTGGATCAGTCGAGCAGCTGCAAGAACAGAGAAAAGACTAGATAAAATGATGGGTGTGTTTCTTATGTAGCTTAAAAGGAGAAAAAGGCATGTTGCTCCCTTTTGATTGTTATCAATTTGTCAGAAGCTCCATTTTCTTTTTTATGTAAGTCAATTCAGATGGATGACGAATGCTATCTGTGTATAGTTCTTTTTCCTTTACTATAGTTGGTTCATTTTATTTTGGACTGTGTGAATCCCTCCACCCTGGGTCCACAGCCTTCCCACCCCACCACCGAATAATTTTCTGGCTAGTTCCTATTTCAGAAGAACAAAGAATAGAGGTCTACTTTGAGTTGGCCATCTTGGGCCTGAGGTTAGCATGTCATTCTTCACTCTGATAACATTAGTTGCCAACTCTCTCTTCAAAGTGCTGTGACTTTTGAATGTCTCTGAGACTCTAAGCCATGGAAGATTGTTAATTAATTTTTATCATTTTAGAAAGGATCTGAAGCCACAGTTATTACTTCCTGGACCTTGCTCAAATAAATTTTATAATTCAAATTTGACATCCAATTTGCATTTGTTTATATAGAGTCTGTCATTATAAAACTGGCTGTAAGCTTATTAGTTTTTCTCAGGTCCACTTTTCTCTTTGAGGACTATGATGAAAATGCAAATCAACAAAGACTGAGTATTTATAATCAGTACGCTGACTCTGCTAAAAGCTGCAATTGATAGAAAGATGTGTAAAATAGGAACTATTTCCAGTGAAGAGGAGAATATGGCCCAATGCCCATAACGTCTATACCTGGAACCAAAAAAATTCTGCTACTGCCCTCCCCACTTTCCATCTCATACAAGCTGAACTGTTTTGCAATAAAAACAAAAGAGCAATTGAGAATTCATCTGTATCAAGAGAATATAAGTTCTCAGATGAGCTTCTGAAAACACCTCATTTTCTGAATTAATTAATTAAAAACTTCAAACAATTGCTGAGCTGTATGGGTTTTTTTTCCCCATTTATTTATTTTATTGCATTTTAGGTTTTGGGGTACATGTGAAGAACATGCAAAATTGTTGCATAGGAACACACATGGCAGTGTGATTTGCTGCCTTCCTCCCCATCACCTACATCTGACATTTCTCCCCTTGCTATCTCTCCCCAGCTTCCCACCCCCCACCATCCCTCCCCTATTTCCCCTCAACTGACCCCAGTGTGTAGTGCTCCCCTCCCTGTGTCCATGTGTTCTCATTGTTCAACACCCGCCTACGAGTGAGAACATGCTGTGTTTGATTTTCTGCTCTTCTATCAGTTTGCTGAGAATGATGGTTTCCAGGTTCATCCATGTCCCTACAAAGGACCCAAACTCATCGTTTTTGATGGCTGCATAATATTCCATGTTTGGTACGATAAATATGTTTTCCAGCTAAGCCTCAAGCCCCCACTCTGAACCACCTTTTGGGCATGTTTGCTTGTCTGCCACCTCAGGGCCCAGCTCTTTAATACAAAACTCTCAGCATTGTTTCCAGAGCAGTCTTCTCATGATTTTTATGCTTTTGTATACAGCACAATTGTTATCATAGCCTCCTGGGTTTGAAACCTTGGACAAAACTGTATTTCTCTTTCCCTTTGGTTTACTGGTAATTCCTTTGCCTCTTTTCCATACCTCTTATTCTGATTGGTACCTGGTTTACATCTTCATTCATTTTTGACTAGAAGTTATCCAGTTCTTCATCTTGATATATTCTACACATCTTTCACAGACCAAACTTTGCAAAAGACTCTTTGACACTGGCCACAACCTTGCCAAAAAATATCAGTGGCTTGACATTTCCCAGGTTAAATTACAAACTCTTGGCCAGGCACAGTGGCTCACGCCTGCAATTCCAGCACTTTGGGAGTCCGAGACCATCCCGGCCAACATGTGGTGAAACCTCAACTCTACTAAAAATACAAAAATTAGCTGGCCATAGTGGCAGGCACCTGTTGTCCCAGCTACTTGAGAGGCTGAAGCAGGAGAATCACTTGAACTCAAGAGGCGAAGGTTGCAGTGAGCCAAGATCGCACCACTGCACTCCATCGTGGGTGACAGAGAGAGAAACTGTCTCAAAAATAAAAATAAAAACAAAATCTTTAACTTGGCTGCTAAACCATTACCAGATTAAATGTGTGTCTCTACCTTTCCCTTTTCCCCTTTTGGTGTTTTATGCAAACTCTATTCCAACCATGGGCCTCTTCAATATGTCACAAACATTCCTTGTGTTTTCTTAGTCCTGTGCCTTCACTTTAATCCTCCTCATCCCACAGCTTTGATTACTCCTGCTATTCTTTACAAATTCTACCTATCATTCAATGTTCAGCTCATGTTCCATCTCTTCCCTGATGCTTCTGTGACTCCAAACTTCAAGGAATATTTCATTCTCCCAACTCCTGAGAGCTCATTGCCTCACTATGTTCAATGTTTAGATGAGATTACTTTGAGTTTTTCATTGTGAATACCTACCCTGTCTATCTAGCTATTTTGTTGATGTGATTAATCTCTTTGTATTCCCATCACCTAGCACCTGGGTAGTAGGGGTGCAATTATGTTTATGTGTGACTGAATCATCTATGAGTCTTCTTACCACCTTCTCTTACAGCCCATCACTCTGCTCCCCTCCCCTCACTACAGAAGTCAAATCAGTTCTCAGTTCATTGCCTCCAGAATCCATTCTATCCTTCCCATTGTTTCCATTCTGTCTCAAGCTCTCTTTCTCTCAGACTCTATTTGTGCCCTTTTGACCAAGCTGTGGCTCCAGGCCTCTTTTTACCGGGTCCATTCTGCACTCCACAGGCACATTAATGTTCTCAAAATACTTCAGAATATCATTTTCCACTCCAAAGTGTTCAATACCATCCTTTTGCATTCATAATAAAATGCAGATTCCATAGCACATTTGAACACTAATAGAACTAATGAAGCTTCTCCTTTGCTACTTTCTCACATGAGCCATCTGCCACAGTTAAGTGAGTATACTCAGTTTCTATGAGACACCTTATGGTTTTCTGCCTCTGCAACTTTGACTGTGTTACCTGGCCCCAACACGTACTCATAAATATTCCTTCATATTATTGCACGTTTTGAAATTTCAGGCATTTTCAAAGCCCAATCCAAATACTCCTTCTTTATAAAAGACTGGCCTGACAAAAGTCTGTATCAGCTTGCAACATATTCGGTTTTTGCATGCAAACTCGTTATCTTCTCACCTGGACTGTGGCTCCATGAAAATAGAAAATGCATTTTCTCTCTCACAGAGCCTAACACTGTGCTCACTCAAGACTTGCCAGTAAAAACTCCAACTTTAACACCTCAGTTAAAGACTAGAAAACTGATCTAAAAAAGGTAGAGGGAAAAAGAAATTCCCTTGAACTTTTTTTTCGTTTATTTTTTTGTTTTTGAGACAGAGTCTTGCTCTGTTGCCCAGGCTGGAGTGCGGCAGCACAATCTCGGCTCAATGCAGCCTCTACCTGCTGGGTTCAAGCGATTCTCATGCCTTAGCCTCCTGAGTAGCTGAGGCTACAAGCCCACACCACCATGCCCAGCTAATTTTTTGTATTTTTAGTAGATATGGGGTTTCTCCCATATGGTAATGGGGAAGGTGAAAACAAAGATCCTAAATACATAGGATTATTACTTAAAGTAAAAAACCAGAAAACTAGAGGCTGAAAGAAGTGCTAACTACAGACATTCTAAGAACACACTCAGCAGCACATAACTCTTCTCTTTTAAGACACTTAAAAACATTTAAACTGAATATTGTAAAGGCTGTGCCATTTGGAGGGGGACTTCTGTTTTCTTCCCCTTTCTGGGGAGATGAATGGCTTCTGTCACAACATCACAGAGCTATAAACTCGACTCATAAAAGTAATGAACAAGTATGAACAAGCAGAATGAACACGAATAGTCATGAACAAGTCTTACTGCCTATTTGGAAATGCCACTTGCCCTTAAACACTGAACCCAAAGGATGGCTAGTGGTTGCAGTTCTCTGATCATGAGTGCAAATTCTCTGTCCTGCAAATGCAACTGTACTTCCCACATCTTCCAGGAGGCAAAAAGTTTAGCCTTTCCCTCTTCTACGTTGAATTTCCTCACCAAATACCCAGTACAGGTTAAACTACTTGCATCTGCACAACAAATCAAAGAAACAGTATTCAGTTTGTGAGGGTTGTACAGAGCAAAGAAAGGAAGAGGCAACTTTGCTAACTCCTTCCAGGGCCACTCTTTAAATTTCCCTTTGACCAGAGAGCTTGTCTAAGCATGGATGTATTCAATCACTTCAAAGAAAGCTCTCTGTTCTGATGAATATTTTGGGGCCACGGGCCAAGGCAAGTCATAGGCTAGCACTTTTATGCTGGGTCTTTGATCAACCTTCCTTTAATCTCTTATCGTGGGTTTGATTCTCGTTTTGCACCTTATCCTCTGGACCTCCTCTGTGCTGATTTTTCTTTGAAGTCAGTGTAGACTTGTGGGTAGGAGGCCATAGGAAACAGACGTGCAACTGTCAAACTGGTTGTAATTGTTTTTATGTTTTGTACTTTGTTTTGAATTACTCAACCTCTCCACATAGCCAACCTGGGCTCTTCAGATGTTTCCTTATCTGTGGGTCTCTGACATCTGAGTAAACAAATGTGGTTTAAAATCAGACAAAATTGTTCACCTTAATAAGTAAATATAAAAAAATAATGTAGTAAAGTCAAATGTATTGACATGGAATATTGTTGGCCAGATGTTGTAAAGTGAAAGATTTTATACAGATTAAAAATCTGCATAAAAGCACAGAAAATCTAGAAGGATATATACTAACATATTCATAGCAGTTAGATCTGGGAGGAGGGATTATGAGTGTGTTTAATTTTGTATTATTTGCATATCTTTATTTTCCAATTTGTATTAGATGTACATGCATCGCTTTTGCAATGAGGGGAAAAAAGTTTATTTTTAATTTAAGAAAATGGTCACACAAAGTCAAGAAAAGTAATCTTCTATTAATAATGAGCTTATTTCTTACAAATGACAACTCTGAATGTTTCGAGCTGATAATAAATGACACTATTTTCTTTTTAACTAATCTTCTTGTAACATTCTCCCAACTTATTTGACTATTGGAATTTAAAAACAAGTTCAACTAGCATCTGGGAAATTATTAATTGCTGTATTCCTCACTGAAAGATGTATTGTGTGCATATGGATTGGAAGATATTGTATACATACTGGGAAAATGTTTGGGCTCTTAAGCCAGACAGACCTGTTTTGAATCCCAGAGTTCCACCACTTTTTAGTTGTACAAGATTAAGTAATTTTCCCAAGATCAAGCAGCTAGTAAATTATGGCGCCCCAGGACTTGCACTTAAGCATATATGGCTCTGAGCCCACAACCTTCCCTCCCTGCTTCGGATGCAGAAGGCTGGTGGGGAGCATGAGAGAAGCAGCGCCTTGCACAGCCTTCTTTTCTACTCCTTCCCAAGTACGCTTTTAGTCTTCCTTTGCCTTGCCTTCTTTACTTCCTCTCCTTCCTGCCACTCTGAAGTCACGGCCGCCTTCCTTCCCTACTGTCAGACTTATCACCAGCAACTTGTGCTGGGACAAAGGCAGGACAAAGTACAGCATCAAGACTTGGAGAGTCCGCAGATGAATTCTTCACAGTGGAGCAAGCAGACAGGAAGCAGCATGGAGGTCACTCTAGGTGGGTACACTCAAAGGCCCATGCAGGGGTGTATCTTTTTGAAGTGTACATGTAACAGGATCTTGCCTAAGTTGTCTTTGGAGCACATTGGAAAATGAAGCGTGAAAAATCTCAGCAATATGTTTTAGGGCAGTACTTGTCAACCCTGGCTAAACATGTGAATCATCTAAGAATTCATTCAGAGTCTTTGGGATGGGTACAGACATTTTTTAAGGTTTTCTAGAGTGGGTCTAATGTGCAGTCAGGGGGAACCACCACATTAGA